TATATTATATAGTATATTATATATATTATATATATTATATATATTATATAATATATTATATATATTATATAATATATTATATATATAATATAATATATTATATATATTATATATATTATATATATATTATATTATATATATTATATATATTATGTATTATGTATATTATATAGTATATTATATATATATTATATGTTATATTATATATATATATTATATATATACCTATGTTGTACTATGATATGTAATGCTATATTATATGATGTTGGATCATGATCGGCTTAGCAGACGGGAGGCCGGCAGGTCCCCGAGCGCTATGCGCAGCTGCAAGCATCTCTGGACCAGGTGCAAGCTTCCTGGATTCGAAAGCTTAGGGTCGAGGGCCTGTGGCTGAGGGTATCCATGCAGGTCGTATGAGAAATGTCAATGCCTGTCTCTCTGTGCGTGTGTGTATATGCAAGATGTACATTCGTGTATATCTACATAGTATGATATAGTATGTTGTGATGCTGTACTATAACTTGCTATGCTATACTGTATCATAGGTATATTTTATTCAAAATCATAAACACACAGGTATATACGACCATACGTAGACCGGGATGTGTGTGTATGTATGTATGTATGTATGTATGCATGCATGCATGCATGCATGCATGCATGCATGCATGTATGTATGTATGTATGTATGTGGTGGCAGCGAGAAAACGCACAGCGTTTCGCCGAGTTGCAACCCCTTCTCGATCCGCCTTCACGCCCAAACCCACCGACCTCTAGGCCTCCCCCGGGGGCCGGGTGGCCGCCTCTGCAGTATAATATACGGGCCTCAAAAATTATATCTATACTATTTTGAGGGTTCCATATCATAATCATAGTGCAATATACCCCAAAACCTTGTTCTAAATTATGAAGGCTCATACATTACCTTGAGTTTCTCCGTAAGTCTTCGTTCTTTCGTGGGTTCCTCCTCTACGCTTCAATACACGGCCGTTCTTCGGGAACCTACATACATTCCTTCGTTCCGCCTTTGGATAAACGCGTGTTTGTAAGTGTGTATAGTGTATGTATGTATTTCCGATCCACTACGTCCTGCAGGAGGGGAGCTGTGTTTCTTTGCAGAACCTGGCCAGGCAAGACCCGTCTCCGTGGATGGAAGAGGAGCCAGGGCGATTGATGACGCATTCTATAGCTTGCCGAAAGCTTCTATTATTCTTGGAAAGTATCAGCACAGCAGCTGGAAATGTCTGGGCTGGGGAAGAGATTCGTGTGTTTCGCTCTCAAAGCAGCTTCGTGTTCACTCGTGTTGCTGCCAGGACTCTCAGCTGCTACGGAGGACTGCCCATGAGGGCGAAATCCCAAATTGCACAGCTGCATAGGCCCGACACATGTGCCTCCAAGCGCTCCAGATAGCAGCTTGTGAATTCCACAAAAAGGGATTGACATAGCCGCCGAAACTCGCGCCGAAAGTGGTGACTGAATTCCAAGAGGATCAGACACGCGCGGAACAAGGCAGGAGGAGTTGGACACTGGGACTAAGACATGTTGGCTGCGAGCCCTAAGTGTTGTAACAGTTAAAGTTCCGAACAATGTCACAGTATCAAGTGAAGAGATGGTCAAAGCAGATCTGTGGCATTTAGAACCTGCGTAGAACTTGCGCTTGCGCTGTGAAGTGCTGGACGGGTTGAGGCCTGGTACAGTATCCAGCGGCTGTGCCGCCATTCAGAACTCTGCAACAAAGTAAACAAGCAGAACAACATGCATCAACAGAGTGTATTTGTGAAGGCAGACGACTGCGTTGGGTGGTTCATCATTCGTCATACGAGTCGGACAGCCCGCGAGGTTGGGCGATCCTTACCAGCGGTGCCCTCCACCGACACCGTCAAGGGCGGGCACGGGCTCAACCCCCAGAGAAGGTTACGTAGGCTGTATTTTTTGGGACAGGTTGGGGGCAGGCAGGGTTGCCGAGTTGCAAAAGCCGCTCTCTTGGACTCTCCGCTCGAGCCGCTCGAGGCGATGCTTCGAGGGATCTTCAAGGAGCCTCAAACTTCAGAGCAAACTTCGGGCCAATGAAGCCTTTTTTGTCCCCGGAGGATGGAAAGAAAGGGCGCAAGGAGGCGGCCGAACACGAGGTACGAGGGGCCTCGACGATAAAAAGCTTCCCAACCTATCCTTCCCTGCCCAGGAAGTGCGCCAGAAGCGCCTGGAAACGGTGCGCCGCTGTCAGCAGACCTGTATCGCAGCACCGCCTCCAAGTGTCTGCAAAGCCCGTCTAGAGAGACAGGCCGACAGGCAGATCGATCGAGCAGAGAGACTTATCAACCCGAAAGCCTGAACCCAAAGCGCCGGAAAACACCCTGAACCCTCGACTCTGAGCCGCGCGGCCTTGAACACCGCCTAGACCCGGAGCCCTGAGGCTTAAACCGAGGTCTGGAAAACTCCTGGCAGTTCCAGGTCTGCGACTGGTGGAGCCTCCTTGCGGCTGGACTCCTCAGGCCCCTGGCTTTGCAGTGGTAGCGATAGTAACAGAAACAGAGGTAACAGTACTTGTCGTATCCAGTCGAGGAGCAACAGCAGCAAGAGACACTGTGTGGTGCTGGGCGGCAGTAGAAATAGAATTGCATGAGGAAAGGGAATCACCGAAGCATTCGCTGTCAGCGATTTACGAGGTTTGAGGTTGGGCTTTGGGGTGGCTCAGGTGGCAAAGTCAAGACTCAGTCCGAGCACGGTGCAGATCCATTCGCAGCTGTTTGCCGGTATCCGAAACCGAAGCATGGTGCCAGATGCAAAGCCAGTCGATCCCTACAACATCTGTAGTTACATGCTGACCACCTTCGCACGCATCCTGTGGCAAAGCTGGCTGAAGAATGCTTGCCAGCCTCGCAGCTGAAGCCACACCCACCAAAGTCCACCTTCAACCGCCAACCCGAAATCGGCCCTGTGAACTCAATGAACTCTGCTCTGTCGCCGCCCCTCACTCGCGCTGCTGGATCCCACTCGGGGACAGGGCGCCGCGACCGCCCTCGGAGGCTCGCATATATACGTCTCCATTCTATATCTATCTATCTATATATATATATATATATCTGTCTATCTATAGAAAACACACACTCACACACTATGTATGTATGTCTATCTATCTATCTATCTGTCTATCTATCTATCTATCTATCTATCTATATATATATATATATTTCATATTATATTATATATTTATGTATATGATTATGATTTCGTAGCAACGCAGCGGCCCCCCCACCGACTCTTGCTTTTTGGTTGCCTTCAACTCTTTGGGGCAACCAGAAACCGAAATCTCACCAGGCGATGCTACCTCGTCCTGCTGGCCCTGTGTGGCCTCAGCTTGGTCACTCGGATGCCTTATGCCTTGACGGACAAAGGGGATACGGATGCTCAGGCTGTGTCATACTGTTGCTCAAAGTATTTGATGACTCTGAAGAAGGAAGAACCGTTCTCAGATCGCTCAGAAGAACACGTGCACAAGAGTCCTTGTTTGTGCTTGCGCTGCCGAGCTATGCCCAATGACTGGCCGAGGCTCGTGCCTGCACAGCCTTCATCGGCAGTAGGCTCGGAGCCTGAGACGTTTGGAAACTCTTGATCACCCACACACTCCACGCCTGTATATGCAGTCGCACGGGGATTGGAGATCAACAGGGCCTGGCTCGCGGGCACGCTGTGTAGGGAGCGCGCCGGAAGTAACAAACGCAACAATGACAGTGACTTTGGCAGTCGCTCCTGTCGGCTCCTCTCCCCTCCTCTTCAGGAGGCCCAACACCACGACAAGCCTGCAGAGGGCTGCCGAAGCCGAGGTGGGATTTTCAGGGCAGAATCTCCAGAATCTTGTTTTTGCTTGGTGAAAGGAAAACACAAACAATTCAGGACGGCAAGGGAACAAGGGCTGTGCTTGAACGGATCAGCTGAATTCTGTCGTTTGAGCCAAGATGAGCGGGAGTAAGCACGGTAAACACGGTACAGACATTTCCGGATAAGCAATACGCAGGATTATTGTACAACCCCCAATTCTGCAATGATCGGCACGTATTGTGCTATTCCTGACGGCTGTCAGATCACTTGCCATCATTATGAGAAGTGTGTCATATTCTGGCTATCGCAGCTTTCGGCAAGAAACAGTTTCGTTCGGTTTCCCTCTACAAGAACCAAAATCGACTCTACAGACGAAAACCCGCTCAAACGTGTAGTTGAACAACCAAGCTTGTAGGGAACACATGAAAGGGAGCTACATCTGTATCTATATCTATATCTTTATCTGTATCTATCTACATCCATGTCTATATCCATATTTATACTTATATCTGTATCTATTTCCATCGGTATATATATTTCCATATCCATATCATTATCTGCATCTGTATCTATGTCTGTGTCGATGTCCATGTGTGTATGTATATATGTATCTTCACGCGTACTCATGCATGTTTATGCCTGACCCCCCCACTCCATGGTATCCTCTTTTGCATGGTGCCTGTGGTCGTGTCTTGCATACTGCATATTCTGATTTTCCCTGTGCCCCACGCTTGAGGCTCTAAATTGCGCCTTAGTGCCAGCCCACTGTATCATGCAAGGATAGGCTCGATTCTCACCATCATGCACTCTTTCACACTCTGTTGTGTGGCCCGGTCTCCCAATGCTCCAGTACATTTTGAACTATGTTAACTTCCACTACAGTCGACAGCATGCCATTGCAGGCCGTGCTGTACTCTGCAGCTATTCGTTTCATACTGTTCTTCACTAAGGCAATTCCGGATTCAGGCTACGCAGTGTTACAATAAATTGCAGATCACGGAGCGCTGTAATGTCGTAGCTATGCCCATGCAGAAGCATTGCTGGATACATTTTTACATTTATTCGCTATACTATATCTTGTGTGTGTGTACATATGTGTATATAGAAACAAAAGTACAATAATAAATAATTAAATGAATACCGAATACCTAAATATGTATATATATATACACACACCATATACCCATATACATGTACATGTAAACATATATATATATACACATACATATGTATGTAGAAACTAATCATGTTATCTATGCTATCTATGCTATCTATTCTATCTATCTATCTATCTATCTGTCTGTCTATCTATCTATCTATCCTTCTATCTATCTTTCTATCCTTCCATCTATCTACCTATTTATCCATGTAACAACATCCATCTATCTATCTGTGTGTGTATCTGTCTCTCTCTATCCATCTATGTGTCCGTCTATCTCTCTCTCTCTCTCTCTCTTTATCTATCTATCTATCTATCTATCAATCTTTCTATCTGCCGATCTATCTATCTATTTCCCTGTCTATCTATCTATCTGTCTATCTATCTATCTATCTGTCTATCAACCTATCTATCTATCTATCTATCTGTATATACATATGTATGTTTTACATATATATATACATATGTATATATATACATAGGTATATATATATATACACATATGTATATGTATATGTATATGTATATATATGTATATATATATATACACAGAGTGTATGAGTCCATGTGAATATGTACACTGTTGTCTTCGAACATGCTATGTTAGCATATCTGGAAGCAGCATCAACATGCTGCATGTGTGAGTGGCCGAGGTGGCGACAAAGCCGCCCAAAGGAAATTGGTTTGAGGAAACAAAGGCGCGCTGGTGGTAGACAAGCTGTGTTTGTTGAATTGAATCGAGATCTTCAGGAGGGATTCGTTCACAGCCGGGCTCATGAATCAGCCGTCTCCCATATGTCAGTGCACGCGTTTGATTTGATGTTCGCGTCTCTTTTCCCTTTTTACCGGGGCCGACAGGGACGGTGCTCTTGAAGTTTGGGCCCTTCGCATACTGCCCGGATCACATTGCCAATGTTCCGACTCATTGCTGGTGTCTTGAATGGCGGCCAGCTCTGCATGGACATGTTCAGCGTCAGAGAACTCGGCTCCTTCAAGGGTCATGTCTCCGCAGTCACAGGCATTCTGGGATGACCTGGAAGTCTTCATGCCCCTCGATGAGGCGCTCCGAATGCCTTGTCAGTTTGCTAGATTTTGCTGGAATGCTTGCTGGTCAGACCTGCTAGTGCCTGCATCACCTACACACATGAGGATACGGCCCCAGAAGCCAAAGCGCTCCTGAACCAGACGGAGCAACTCGCAAGCAGCGACGGAGTTTGCGGGTCTGTCCACTTCGACCTCAGCAGAGTTTGTGAAACCACGCAGTTGGCACATGTTAGCCATTCCCGGCATTCATGCGGTGTGCGTCCAAGGAAGGTCGAGCGTATGACGGCGGAGCAGGAGGGGCCTTCAGACACGGATGTCAGATATCTGAGTGTACCGGCATTTTGGAGGCTCTTGATGCTATAAAGATGGCAGCACACTTGAAATATTGCCCACCATGCGACCCATGGGTTCTAAGAATGCTGTCGGAGCCGCTTTCGTCCTGTCTTTGAGGAGGCTGTTCTCGCCAAGAAGTCTTACCTTCGTGGGAAGTCTGACGAAGCCTTGGGTGAAGAGCTGAACAAGCTACAGAGCCTCTCCTATGAGCGCCTTGGGCTCCAAGTCGTGGCATTCATCCCGGCCCTTCGGTCTGGGTTGAGCTGGATCTTCGAAATCCGTACCTTTGAGATAGCCTGCGGAAGTGCATGACGATGTGGAAGACAGGAGATTATGACACCGGTCGGACCTTCGAAAGTTTCCATTCGCTGTCTTGCCGCCAAGGTATTGGAAGATGCGCGTCTACAGGCCCTCCACAAGTGCCGCGGCTCGCGGATGTTCTTGGCATGAAAGCTTCAGACCGTGTCAGACGTACGCCTCCCTCTGTAGAAGAGGGGTGTCAGCAGCGCCGACACAAAGAACTCTCCGTTATAGTCACATGCAGTTGTCCTTTCGAGAATGCCAGGGTCTTCAGCAAGGAGTCCGTGAAGGAGGGCTTTGTGTGGGACTCAGCGTCATGCCGGGTGATTCCGTCACACGTCGCTTGCAGCTCGGCGAAGGTAAGCTTTCTCACATACGGCAATGCAATTTTCATCTTAATTTTCCTGCGCACCGTGGTGCCACGGCTGCTAGTGAGCCTTGGGTCGCAGTGATGAGGGTCTAGCCGACGGCCACCGTGGATTCGCGATTTCAACAAGTTCTTGTGAGCATCGTATGCCATTCTCAGGATATCGTCTCTGGACGATTTCTTCGGTTTCGCTAACGAGATTGGTGTGCCCAACAGGCAGACCCTGAATGAAACTTGGTTCCGTCTTAGCCAGTTTAGGCGAATTGCTTGGAGTCATTTCCATGCAGCAGTCTCCATGTTGAGATTCCCGACTGCCAAAGTTCCGCAGTGTGAGAGCTCATTTAGACAAATACCTGCATATGATCTTATATGTGCTGTCATAGCCACACCCGTCTGCGCCGAGGACGTAATTCGAAACATTTCGAGTTACGACACACTCTTCAAAGCTCTTATTTACACAGTGGCCTTTATCGTCGAGAAGCTGACGCTGCTGCTCACTTAGTCTCCCTGAGATGTCTGGCAACGGTCACAGCTGAGGGCTGGGCGCTGGGACTCAGGATTTCTGAAATCCTGCCGGTTCAGGTGGCCTTGAAGACGATGTCCCCAGCTACCTGGATGGGACATACATGTGATACACAATGACTATGGAAGTTCTCTATCATGCAATCAATAGCGAGTGGTACAAAGTAAGAATGAAGAGATTCTGTAACTCTATAGCTAAGATAGCAACTGCAACCATAGCAATCCTTTCGGTAACAAAACTAAAACGCTTGGGTTTCTTTTGGGTGCCGCCGAAACCTTGGATGTAAGAAAAACGCCGCTGTTCCCGTACATCCCTCCCTGGCTTTCAAGCCCGACGAAGCTGCATTGAACCGTGCCCCAAACCCTAAACCCTAAAGTCTTGCCTCGAATTTTCACGGTTTTTAGGTTGTCTTTGGCGGCCTCATCCCTGGTGCGCTGATCTCCGCAACCTGTGAAACGGTGGGAGCCACTGTGTCTTGCTTGCAGGAACTTGGCAGAGAAGGGGCGTGGGAATGGAGATGATTTCCGGAGACTGGAGCCAGCTCAGGTGAATTTCTTCATCGGCCGCACGTTCTTCTTCCAGCGCGGCTTGGCAGAGCTGTTGCATGGCGTCTTCGCCTTCCGGGGCTTTCGGTGCTCCCCTAAACCCTAAACCCTAACCAGCCGAGTGATTGGAGCTTGAAAGCATCTCTCCGTGCAGGTCTGCGAGACTTTCAGCTTCCCGGTGAGCCCAAGCTGGGCGATGCTCCGTGGTTCGGAAGGCTGAAGCTTAATATAGGGGCCTTAATAATTAGAACAGGGTTTGGGGGTAGGTTATACTATAGCTATAATAAGGAACCCCCAAAATCCTGTTTTTGTTATTAAGGCCCCTACATTACTTGCATCGCTCCATGCTTTCATACAGTGACCTCGCATGGGAGGCTCGAGCGGGCCGCCGAGAAAGAGGGCTTGAAGATGACTCTTCTGCGGCTCAATATGCAACAATGTAACGGTGCATCATAGTACTCGTTCCCAGGAACCCTTCGTTTGTTCGGGTCCAGCTTGAACATCATGCGGGAGGTAGGGGGAGAGGTTGGGAATCACGTTGGATTCGCAGTGATCTCTCGGCTTGCTTCAGAATCCTCTTCTCCTGGACGAAGCAGACAGAGTCTTATTTTAGCCAAACTCCCAAGCCTTAGCTTAGCAAGAGGCTTGCGATAGTGCGCAGTAGCTCCGCAGATGTGGCATGCCGTCGGGATTCGGCTTTGAGGAGCTACTACAGACTGCCAGACTGCCGTTCCGGAGTAGAATAGACTGACAGGAGCTTCGGGCTGCCATCAAGCCCAGGCTGCGTCTCTCCCACATTCTCCCCGTGCCATTCGACTCCTACTGGTACATCCTGGGGGCGCTCCCTGTTGGTCACCGGGCCGGAGTTTCCTGGGACTCAGGTAGAACAGAAACGAGAACGGTAGACAATGGCTATCGCAGCAACACCAATTTGGTTGAAGAGTTCTCTGACTTCGTCGATGATGGTATTCGTGCAAACAGGAACAAGACAGGAGGTGGTTCATGTTCTCATCACCACCATCACTATCACTATTTCGACACAAGCTACATCATCTTCATCATCATCATCTTCACCATTGTAATCATCATCCATCAAGACCACCATCAGCACAGTCATCGCCAAGACCGACCATCATCATGAAATTGTCCATCATAGTAAATCATAGTCATTAGCATCACCACCGCCATCATCTTCGTTGTTATGGTTGTTCTCCCCCTGCTGCTCCTCCTGCTCCTCCTCCTCCTCCTCCTCCTCAGCATCACCATCTCATCATGACCATCATCATTATAATTATTACTACTATTATTGTCGACTGCACCAGATGCTCTGGCAATTTCCGGCTAGGCTGCGCAGCTCTGTGCTGAAGGGGCTCGGAAAGTCGCAAGGGCCACTATTTTTGCTCGGGACATGAGCCAGTTTTCAGTAGGGTTTGCTGACTGCTCCCCGACATCCCAGAGTCCGAGAGAACACTCGTTTCATTCAAGGCGTGCCGGAGTTCATCGTGGCACACTGGGTGGGCTGCCTGAAGACTGCCTTCCTCGACGCATCGCTCGGGCTTCTGCTGCTCACGTCTGGGCCTCACAGGGCTTGGAGTGGAGACGTCTGAGGGCTTTTGCGGTTTTGTTGGGCTGGCGGCTTTCCGCCATGGAGTTTAGCATTTCGGGAAAGAAAGTCTCATCGGACTGTCGAGGGAGTAGCTTTGCTCCAGCATGTCGTGGCTGCACTGTTTAAGACATATGCCTCGCCTTCTATCAAACTATCATGCCCGCGTGCCTATCTGCCAGTCGATCTGTCTACAGATGCATGCACCGGAGGTCTCCCTGTTCTGCCGTGCATAAATGCTCATTATATCAGTACATGCTGTTTATCTGTGGGGCACCACCAGGATCCGATGTGCTTTTGATCGTTGCCCTGCTTTGGTGTCGCAAGTCTTCTGCTGGGCGTTTCAACTCTGAGTCCTGGGACAGCAAAAGCAACTGCGAGCTCAGCAGGGCTTTGGAGCCAGGTCGGTCGTGAACCTGGAGGAAGGGGCTGAGAAATCGAACATCATCGTTGCCGAGTCTGCTCTTTGGCCACATTGCGACATGCCCGTCGTGTCAACACGAAAGCACTGCGAACACCAGCGATTGCTGAATTCCACGTCCAGGTCGGCTTTGCATTGGTTGCTCTGCTGGTGCCTGGCCGAAAGAGATCGTTGTGCTAAATGACCAGACGCCGCATCCAAGTGAGCCCAGGTGCAGACATTCGCCACCGGCCTGGTCAAAGACATCCTCGGCCTGGAGGAAGCTCAAAAGCAAAGCAGTTTGTAATCAGGTGCAGGCCTTTGCCAGTCGAACCGCGTGGCTCGAAGCCGCCAGTACCGATGGATGCAGCCAAGGACGAGAAAAAACCGGATGCCACCAAGGCAACCCCACCCCTCAAGGACCAGGCCTTCCCATTCAAAAGATTGTGCTAGAGGGGGGTGTGTTTGGAGACTAAAGAGAGACCCGGTGTTTGGACTTGAGCTCAATGCCTTGTAGACCTGTCGAGGATGGACAGCCGGCCAAAGCCGACCCACCCGCAGCGACAGCTGATGCTGACAACCGCATGATTTGATCTCAAAGTTAAGGTATCCAAATAGTTGTTGTGAACTCCACGCTGCTTATCCGATGTCGCAGCAACCACTTGGAAGTCAAGCTGTCCAAGCAGGCAGGAACACCACAATCCATTTTCTAGCTTCAATGTTTCACACGGAAGGGTTCGACCAAGTCATCCGTTGCGGAGCAGAAAAGATGGTGCATGCCTGCGATAATAGGAGTTGCAGTCCCCACTAACCCCATTTCGCAAGTGTGGGTCGGCAAGCGCCTTTGAACTCTAAGTTTGTTGTTTGGTGTGAATTATATCTTCGGGTATCCTGATCTGTTTTGCGTGCTTGAAATTCTGAAAGATTTCAATTGAAGCTTTGGGAATGAAAGTGCCGGATCCGCGGTCAGGAACCACCGTCGAACTGTGGGCAAGGCCGCAAACATGCCGCTGGGGGTGTCTCTTTCCTCAATTTTAGCTTCGTCGTCAAGGCGTGCATACCTGCTCGAGAAATTGCGGTGATGATGAAGCTCTGATTATACCTGGCACGCATACGCCGCATCCCAGTCGCCTGTACCCGTAATTAGCCCTCGCCTAAGGGGAAGAGATCTTGGCAGGTCACGCTGCGCAACGCTCTCCGGAAGGCGCCGGCAGACGGCCCACGGTTCACGACCGGAGTCGGTGATTCCAAGCTGGGTTCCGACTCCCCGTGTTTTTGCAGCAATTTCACGTCGAGGCATACAGCAGGCAGGAGGGTTCTTCACTTCCACCGCCGCTACTGCGACTGACGTCAGCTAGATGCTTCACTTGCTCTTGTGGTAGTACGCCTCGGCTGGTGACTGGCGTCTTTCAAGAGAAGTTCTGCTGCATTTTGGAGTTCATGAAGGATCTTGAAGTCTTGTTGACAAGCCAGAAGCTTACTTCGTTCACATGTCAGCTTTCGATCATTTCAGCACCCAAACTCGGCAACACCTTACGACGCTCATGGGGAGCTTGAGGATTGAACCGATTGACACGAGCGGACGACTTTGCTGTATGACTCCTCTCGTACTGACGAGCCAGGCCATGGCGAGCAAGGATCCTGCGGTCCCAGAAGAGGAGGCCGTTGCATCTCGAAGCCAGGAGAAGCCCCAGAGAGACTAACCCCAAGCTGTCCCTTTGATCATGCTGGCACTTGTCTCGCTAGCGACGCATACCTTTTAAATCTTTATCACTGAATCACCGCCTCATGTGCCATGATATCTCATCACATCATACTTATAGATTGCGTCACCCTGAGTCTGAGATGCCATCGCTCTTTAGGGACTGACGAGCGGCCCTGAGGAGGCCCAGCGGCGGTCAGGGCCCGGGCCGCCCTGGCACCACTCCAGGCGCCGCCGGATCTAGGCACTGAATATCAGTGTACATTTACATTTAGAAAAAAAAGAGGACATCTTAAAGACAGACGTTCATGTAGATTTGAGTAGAAACAAGCAAACAGAAATACAGAAAGATAAAGACAACGATAGTCACACACACACACACACGCATGTAAATACATGCAATGATACATGTGCATATGAAGACAAAAATGCACATACGTGTGTGTGTATGTATATATATATATGTATGTATGTATGTATGGATGTATGTGTATCTATGTATATATATATATCTATATATATGACCATAATATATGTATCAATGAGCAAATAGATGAACAAGTAGTTTTCAACCAAAATCAGTAATTGCATAAATGAAAAGTTAAACAAGATTATGTTTATGCACCTTGTGATAGCTAGGCATGTAGGTAGGCAGGCAGGCAGGCAGGTAGGTAGGCAAGTATAAGTACAGAGATAGATCGATAGCAAGCACCAATAGATAGAGGCACGCACACACGCGCACATTTACATTTGTATATATGTATCTAGAAATTATTATATATATATATCTCTGCGTCTATGTACGTACGTATGTATGTATGTATGTATGTATGTATGCATGTTTGTATGTCTGTGCGCATGCATGTTTGTATGTAGGTGCGTATGTCTCTCTCTCTCTATATATTGGCGCATATGTATGCAGATGGCATATGCATGCAAAAATATGCACACACACACATTTTCTGTATCTGTCTTTATACATGTATATTCATTTGCATGCAGATACATATACATATACACACATACATACATACACACATACTTCCATCCATACATACATACATATGGATACTTATGTTATGTCATGTATGTATGTATGTATGTATGTATGTATGCATGCATGCATGCATGCATGCATGTATGTATGTATGTATGTATGTATGTGTGTGTGTAGGTAGGTAGGTAGGTAGGTAGGTAGGTAGGTAGGTAGGTAGGTAGGTAGGTAGGTAGGTAGGTAGGCAGGTACATACGTATGTATGTATGTACGTACGTATGTAGGTATGTATGTATGATATGTATGATATGTATGATATGTATGATATGTATGTATGTATGTATGTATGTATGTATGTATGTATGTATGTAGTTATGTATGTAGTCTGTAGGTAGGTAGGTAGGTAGGTAGGTGGGTGGGTGGGTGGGTGGGTGGGTGGGTGGGTGGGTACGTAGGTACGTAGGTAGGTAGGTGGGTAGGTAGGTAGGTAGGTAGGTAGGTATGGATACACATGCATACATACATATGTGTGTGTACATAACTGCATATGTGGTGTGTGTATATGTATATGTATACATATTTTATACATGCATGCACATAAACGCATGCATACAAATATGTGCATGAGGAGCCCGCGCGTCAAGAAGGAAACAGAGGAGCCGGATCTTGCAGCGATGCCCAAAGCCAGGCGGGCATCGAAGAATTTTCCGCGTCTCCAACAATCCGATATCTGGGAGTCTTGCAGCAGGCTGCTGGCATGCAGTTAGTTTGTAGAGCTGAGAGGGATCTTCACAAGCGGCACAAGCGGTGTATGGATGCATGGATTGTGGAGGAGCGTCTCGCCTCGGCTTCAGACGGGCAGGCAAGAAGCTACAATCATTCGAGAGCGATCTTGACAATCCTTAGTTTGTGTGAGTTCGAAAGGAGCCACCACAAGTGGAAGCACAGCGCGACAGACCCAAACAGCACGCCCGTCGCCCAGCGTTTGGTTTGAGCCACAACTATAGGCAGCCTTTCGAGTAGTCGGTTCCCACCCGTTTCTCATCGCGTTCAGAGAGCTGAGGAGCTGGACTGGGGCCATGAGAATTGTTTAGGGTTTTGGGTTTACTGTAGGGTTTAGGGTTTAGGGCCCCTGCTATCGTGTGAGTTTGAGGTTGTGGTTTCTGCCACTTGGTGCCATGAGGCCTCCTGTGGACGGGGAGATCCAAGAAGCCGTTCAAGACGCACTCTTTGACCGAGTGCCTCTCATGGTGAGGACGTCCTCGCATCTGGACGCAGTCCAATCTCCCGTAAGTCTAACAGCAAGAGATCTTTAAGTGTCCTTATCAGTGTTGTTAGTTCCTGGTCTTTTTGTGCCGCCCCTCTGATCAGGGGTTCGCATGTACGCGCAGTGGCGCGGCATCACATTGACACATGCGTACGCAAGCTTCGTGCTTCCGCTCGCGCGCAGGAGCTCCAGCACGACGCCGGCATCGCAGGTACTCGGGACCTGCTCAAGGAAAACACACATGAGCTGCCGGGCCATGAGCTTGAGGCGCAGCTGCCCGAGCGCTATGCTCACCTCGCGCCCCAGGGTGCGAGGCCATCAAGGGCAGTTCTGCGAAGGCCGTGATCCGGATCGCGGCTTGAGCTTCGTCGCTTGTGGCAGGCACGAGCGTGCGGAGGCAGATGGCTCAGCAGATGCCAACTCTCGCATCACGTCGAGGCTCGGGGATGCAGTGCCCAAGCTTCAATGCCGGGTTGGCTAATGTTGGCCGCCGTTGTGCATCCGTCCGGCTGCAAGTGCCCCTACCTTCCAGCAACTTGGGGACCCGTCGCTCCAGCTTCCACTTGCTGCTGCAGAGCAGCGCGCGGGGCGAGGAGCTGCGTGACGCCGGAACTTCCAAAGCCAGGCCGCACGCAGCTTCGACGGCACGTATAGCGTGCAAATGTAGGTAGCAGCACTGCTGCCAGGAGCGCCTCTTCGCGACTAGAGACGAGCAGGTCGGAGAGAGTTCAGGCTTCCGTGGGCCGTGAGCCGCATAGCAGCTGTACATGGAGGCAAGGCGGCGAGAGTCCTTCAGCTGAAGATGGAGCAAGCGGGAGGAGCGAGTTCTGAGCGCTCTCACGACCTTTTCAATGTCAAGGCCTGCAAAGTTGCTTTCCTCAGGAGTCGACCCATGAAGTGGAAGCTCCAACGCGAGCCAAAGCAGGGTGCAGAAGCGCCAAGCACCGAGTGAAGCCATTCCTCCGAAGTTTTGCTTCAGCTGTCATAGCTGTCCCTCCCGTCAGTATAAGGTCGATGGCTGATGGTGCAGAGGAGGGAGAGCCGACGCCCACACGCGACGACTTGCGCGGTGGCACCAGGACTCTGGATGGTTGGAGTTAAGGGGACGGGTTTTCCATGCTGACATATCCTGACTTTGGTCATGGGCGTGTGTGGAGGAGCCATTCGCCGAGGGGGCCGTCCTCTCGAAAGGCAGACCAGTCTTCTCGCCACGAGAAGAGGCACCGACAGCTGCTCAAATACCTTGGTCGGCATCATGAAGCTTCTGTGCAGCTTGGTGCTTCCATCTAGGCGGGACTCCAGCGCCTCGACATCGCAGGCCACTTGCGGAACTGGGGCAGTCTGCGACAGCAGTCGGCCACGCATGAGCTTGAGGCGCAGCTGCCCGAGCGCTATGCTCACCTCGCGCCCCAGGGTGCGAGGCCATCAAGGGAAGTTCTGCGAAGGCCGTGATCCGGATCGCGGCTTGAGCTTCGTTGCTTGTGGCAGGCACGAGCGTGCGGAGGCAGATGGCTCAGCAGATGCCAACTCTCGCATCACGTCGAGGCTCGGGGATGCAGTGCCAAGCTTCAATGCCGGGTTGGCTAATGTTGGCCGCCGTTGTGCATCCGTCCGGCTGCAAGTGCTCATA